GAGAGTTGGAAACTGTGGACAGGGATCAGACAATGGGTACCATCCTGTGTCTACACTCACATACCTCCTAGGGTTTGCATATGTAAATGATTAATTAGTACTTGGGTATTTTTCAGTGCCCAAGTACTGGTAGGAAAAGAATCGGTAGGAGAAAACTAGAGAACATTGGACGTTGGAACACGTTAGAAGGTCACAGGATTTACTAGTGTACCTGATGTGTGCACCACAGGCTATTGTGAATGAGCAAGCCAGCTGTGGCCCCTGTCTTACAGAGATCACAGGTCCTAGCTGAGTAAGATGAAAAACAGACCTGCACACAAATACACTCAAACTTGCTCAGACAATAGATTAGGGTGGTACGGAGAGGGGGAGGTGAAGGTGGAGGTTCAGAGCGAGGATAAGATACCTGGGTTTGAAAGGAGATCTGAACTGACAACCTGCATGGCAGGACTGACTAACTGTTAAAAGAAGGTGGTAATGCAACACTGTAGCAAGGAAAGCAAGTCCCCAGCACGAATTCAGATACCTCCTGTTTTAGAGTACAAGTTTCAGAAAGCAGGGGCTGCGGGGTGTGCAGGGACATCAGATTAAGGTTAGACACATATTGGTCGACAGCCTTAAGACATAGATTACCTTCAGGCCGTTAGTAAATTCCATGGGGATATAGCCCTTCACTGTTAACCAAAAAGGAAAGTGTGTAATTAGCTAAGGTCTTCAGCTAAAGGGTATGCAACACTCAGGGACCAGCTGCCACTGTGTAGGAGCACCCCCTTACAAACTATTACCTCTATACTAACTTGATTACTTGATTTTTTTTAACCATTCTTCAGCTTTAAGCCAAGCACCAACAAGTAAGTTTTTCTTACATTTTTAATATCTGATGTCATCAGACCCCACACTAAACAGGACTACTCACTCCCTGTCTTACCTGTTTTCTGGTTAGGCAGGGTGACCAGACTTGGAGCTCATGATTCTGTAGCTTTACCTTCACCCACTCTCTTAGCTGCACCTTGCCCACCTTCACGACATCTCTCTCCATGGCAGTGACATGCCCTGCCTAAGCAAATTCATGTCTTTGGCCACACATTCCTCAACTCCAGCATTCATTTCATTTCTCTTCTGTGTGTTCACACTCTCCTCCCATTAGACCTTCTCCTTAAGCTGTAAGGCAGTTGGATCTTCTCCGACCACCACCCTGTGCTGGCTGTGGGCTGTGGGCTTAGTGAAAAGCCACTGACCATATCCAATCTAAACCAGGCAATTTCCCAATTAAGCTGAGAGTCATGAGACTTGGCCTGCTCACAAACACGTTTAAATCATGTCTGCGTGTCGACTGGTCTTCTCGACATGCAGATTGTCACCAGGCCACCTGGCACTGCACCCCCCTCACGTCCCATTGTTGTGTGAGCACAGGCAGGTGACTCAGTTTCTCCAGACAGTTTAAATGGTTACATAAATAATTACAAGACTCAGCTTTAAGGTTCTCAAAAGTGAGGAAGATGGAGGCAGTGAAGTCTAAATGAGTCTCCCAGGTCAGATTTCACGATCATAGCAAGATAATTGTGTTTTCTAAATAAAGGAAAGATGAAGAGAAGGGATATATTTTTAAGTGAGGAAATCAGGGATTAATTTAAAAAATAATCCCAATTAGACAGTTTGCCCCTCCCCCTCCCCCCACCACCCAATGCTTGAGGTAATTTTCCACTCTGAATCTTACTCATCTGGATTCATATTAAAGCCTTTTCCCTAGTGGTAAAAGCATTCCATCTTGTCCAAATGTATATCATAACCTCTATCTCCTCCCCCCCCCAAGAGCACCACAGCCTCGGTGCCCTATAACCAGATGGCCTTATTTCTCATAGGTGTCAAATCCTACCCAACTGACCAAGAGCAATTGACACGTATTCTTAAAATAGTGAAAAGGTCCCCCAGCTCAGGCCACAACCCCCTGGAGCTAGCCCCAGCCCTTCACACTGCTGCCTTCCATCCAGTCTCAGAGGAACCCCTTAACCACTGCTAAGCCAGGCCATCTGCAGGGGTACTTTGTTTGGCCAACATATTAATTTTAACTATGAAGCTCAAATAATACTTAGATGGGGGTGGACTTTTCACATAGACAACACTCCTATGATGGCTCATTCCAGCAGATTCTTGGTCCTGAGACTTAGTGTGTGTGCAGAAACTTTGAATGTGCATGCATGTGTGCCTCTGTGTGTGTGTGTGTGCCTTGCATATATGTGTGCATGTGTGTATGTATGTGTACATGTCTGTGCATGTGTGTATGCTTGTGTGTGTATGTACATGCATGTGCAAGTCCATATGCATGTCCCCTGAAGACTCCAAGGGCACTGACCATCAAACAGCACAGTGGTGAGCAGCCTGTCTATCTAGGATGAACACTTGGCACACACTGCAGAACAGCTTCTCTTCCCATTTGGAAGATTCTCCCCAGAAACCGCCCTGGACCCCAGTATACCATCTTATGGCTTGGCAGAGTACCCAAGCCTCGTGCTTCTCAGCTTTCATTCTGAGGGCCCACACTCAGTCCTTTCTGTCCCTTTGCCTCTCCACAGTCACTGGGTATTCCCCTCTACAGTGTTCCCAGCAGAATTTCCTCTCTTTCCATTTGTTTTTACTCTGAATTTCTTATTAGGGTCTCAAAGTAGTACTAAGACAGGGGAGGGGGTACAATTTCCACTCTAAACATGAGGAAGTTAACTCAATAAATCAATATTCCCAGAGCCAGAGCACTGGAAAGTGATAAAGCTGACCCTTGGGTCTGCAACCTCAAGACTCCACACCACACATCTGGAGGGAGCAGACACCTGCTCTCTATGGTCTGAATTTCAAGACCACAGTTCTGTCCTCTCCTTGATGTTTTTCGAACTTTTAGAGAATTTCACACAGCGTACATTGATGATACACACTACCACCTGCTTCCCAGACCCACCCCTCCCCGACCTTGCCCCCTCTTTTGAAGAAACTGTCTCTCAGCAACTGTCTTGGTCATCCTTCCCTGACAGGCTTTCTATCCCCTTGTCAGAGATGTTCCCTAAGCACAGGGGCTGTTTTGTAAATGTGTTAACTGGGGGAGGCTCCTAAAATTCGGTTGATCTCATTCTGAGCACTTGCGGCTGCAGTAACAACCTAATTTCTATCACAGGTAGAACAAGAAACACCAAACTATTTCAGGAACCTCTGTGTATGTATCTTTGCTCTATAATTCCACTCCTGGGCCTTTTGTGCAATGCCTGCTCTGGGGGAGCTTGCAAAGGGTAGTAAGGAGATGTCACACTTAGGTGCAGGGAGCACTGTTGTTTGGCTGTTCCTGTCTGTCCCTCCCTTCAAGACCCTAGAAGTGATGGTTCTACTGCTTCATGCAGGGCAGTGAAAACTCTGCCAATGATGCCCAAGCTCACTCATTTAAAAGTGCATGGAAAATTCCGGGGCCAGACGAAGCACTTCATCAGAAACAGATTTGTAGAAAGATTTGGTGAAAGGTTCCAGGAGAAACCCAGACAAGGGCAAGTGACTTTAGATGGTGGCCTGTCTCCTAAACAACAAAAGGAAATGCAGACTGACTTCCTGGTGTCCTCCTGTGTGAATCTGACTTTGATGAATGCTGGACCCAAACTCCCGCCCCCAAAACAATGTCGCTAAGTTATGATCCTTCCAAACTTACAGTTTTGTCTTTTTTATTTTAGCTGGCAACTTAGGACGCATCAGTAAGTTCCTCTCTGCTCTTTGATCTTCATTCCCTTTGCCTCACTTCATAAAATACAGTCCTGGAACCTCTACTTCCTCCTACAAACACTGTCCCTTCCTTCCCTTCCTCCTCTGCCCTTGATATGCTGGACACCCCTGTGAGACAGAATTACAGATGCAAGGGGAGAGGTGCTGGGAGCAGACACAGTCCAGTGAAAAGTAGGAATGCTCCTCTATTTGAAGTTGCAGTGGCACTCATGGGAGACTAATGTGGCCTCCTCCTCAGTAACATGGGAGAAGGCTTCTGTGACACACAATGAGTCCCACCTGCAGACAGAGGGTCCCCACACCATCAGTGATGGTTTTAGAAAGAGTGGAGTGTGCCTATGAACACAAGTTTAGAACAGGAGCCTAGAGACTATGGCGAGTGACATTCTAACAACATATCTGCCGGGAGCCTGCTGGATGCCAGTCAAGATGTGTGAGCGATTTAAGAAGGAAATAAAAACTGAAAGTGGTCTGGGCATTGGTGGCACATGTCTTTAATTCCAGCACTCAGAAGGCAGAGTCAGGTGGATCTCTGTGAGTTCGAGGCCAGCCTGGTCTTCAGAGCTAGGACAGGTTCCAAAACAATACAGAAAAATCCTGTCTCAAAAAAAAAAAAAAAAAAAAAAAAAAAAAACCTGAAAGTGGTTGGCCCAGATTGGATCAGCTCTCCACTCCTGTGGAGCCTCTGCACTACAGCAGCCATAAATGGACTGCTGGCAAATAAAGGTGAAGCTCCCAGGGGCTTTGTGTGTTAGCACATCTGCCCATGACTTCTGAGGCTGCTCAGACCTAGGACAGGTAAATCCTGGAGGAGAGGAAAAAGGTTGTCAGAGTCAGGACTTGTGAGTCACAGGAGGCTATTTTGCAGGGCAAGGTTGCCTAGGGTCCTAATCCCTTTACCGAGAATCCCTACCTAGAATGTCTTAAGTCTGTCTCATACCTCTGTGCCAAGCCTGATGAACAAGGACCTAACTGGTCACAAAGATAGGAATCTTGTGGTCCCCTTCAGAAGGCCTTCGGCTCTAGCTAACCAGTTCAAGCTGGCCAGCTAAAAGGAATGCAGCGGCTGTGTCGATACACACCATCCACGGGAGGGTGCTGACCGTAGCTAATGCTGCCCATTGAGCTGAAACTTCTCTGTTAGTATCTGTTTCTGACTCTTTCCCAGAATTTTGATGTATACTACTTTCCTTCCTTCATGACAGAACTAACCAACTCTGTTTTGTTTTGTTTTCCCATTATTTTAGCAGGAACCATTGGACCTATTAGTGAGTTCTTTTTCATCTTGTCATCCTTCTGTGGGCTCTGGGATCTGACCCTCTCTGAATCTCACCTGTGTCAATCTCCTTTCTGGAATAATTTCACACGAGTGTTTCCATGACACCTCCTGATTTCCAAGACCTAAGACAAATGCCCTGAAATGTCCCTGAGTTTAAGAAGAGGAAAAGTTAAGTACTTCTTACATTTTTATTTTATTGAATTTTTTAATTAATTTCTCAGTTAAGTTGGGTCCTGAATAACTTGCTCTGATTGGAACTTTTTGAGAACCTCTGCCAAACTACCTGCTGTCTTTGTATTAGTCCTTCCCTCTCTGGTTGAGTTGTTTCATGATTTCTTTGGGAAATAATGATGGCATGCAAATTCTGCGACTGTCAACCACACTGATGTTCCCTTGTTCACATTGCAGTGCAATTCTCCGCGCCCATCCGTGAGTATCCATCTTCCACTCTGGCCCTTCCCATAGCCAACCTCTGGGGTACTGTGTTTCCCAGGCTTCTCATTACAGTTTCCAAAGAGGTCATTGTGAAGTACACTGACCTCAAATCCCATGTGCTAACTTAATAAAAATCAAAATAAGGGCCTCTAGGGGGCAGTGTAAACACCCTTCATAAAAGGAAGGTATACTTCTCAAACCTTTTAGGTCTTCTAAGGGAATGGAAAAAGAAAAAGATAAGTATTACAAACTAATGGCGAGTGAGTCTTTCTCGATTGCCTGGGGCTGACCCACCACAAAACAGAAAGAAGCCTCCACTCTTACAGGTCCTGTGTGTTGCACAATAGGAAGGCTGCCTGTGGTTTACCATGCAAGCCACCCTTGGTCTTCCCAGAGTTTCCACCCATGATAGTTCTGCTAGGATGAAAGCTGAGAGGCAGGTATTCAGGTATTTCCTTCACCGGTAACGTAATGATCTCTCTCTCTCTCTCTCTCTCTCTCTCTCTCTCTCTCTCTCTCTCTCTTTCTCTCCTTCTCCAGCTGGAGCTACAGGACCTATCAGTAAGTTTCTTGTTCAGTTCTCTACCGTGGCTCTTGCTCTTTTTTTTTTTTTTTTTTTTTTTTTTTTTTTCAGTAGCTAGTGGATCTTTTCCTGTTTTCCGTGATGGGGTTTCAAAGGTCTGAAAGTGTCACTTTCTTGGCCTTTTGTGGTTTCCTTCCACCTGGTATTTCAATGAATCATCTATGAATTGTGAATATGCATGTCACTGATGATAAAGTAGAGGATGGACCCTTGGAGAAAGTGTGTCCTGACATCACGTGAACAAGGGGCTTTTAACAAGAGCATGAGGGAGGGCAGTGGGGACAGAAGAAAATGATCCCAGCAAGCAGGGTTTTTCCAGTCCTCTGCAAGGGTTTAAATGGAACCTCTGCCACCCGTTGTCTCCGGGGAACCACGGGGTGAAGGGATTTCCTCTGCCTGAGCTGGCTCTGGTGCAGTTTTGCAGTCCAGGCCCCACCAGAGCAGGGGCTCTGGATGAGAAAGGTGCTATCTGGAACCCAGAATCACCTACTGACTACCCCTTTTGTTTCATTCTGTTCTGTTTCCTTCCAGATCTGTCTCAAAGAACCATCGGTAAGTCACCGCAGTGTCCATTGTATGCTTGGCCCCTTGGGGTACCTGGGCTAATTAGTCTGCTTCCTGTCAATTATCTATACACCGATTCAAACACAGAGTACTATAGCAGCTTGATTATCCCTCCCAGAATTCCTATAGATGGCATTAAACCAGGTTCAACCGTAAAAAGATATTAACTATGAAAGTGGAACCCAAAAGCCTGGGTTGTCCCTTCCTGATCCACTTGTCACAATCCGGCCCTTTAGAACCAGCACACAATAAACCTCTTGCCTCCCGTGCATCTGTTCATCTTGTAAATGGCATAAACATGAAGTTTCTTCTGACTTGTAACTTCTCTGACAACTTTTCTCCAGCCAGTCTGGTTCTGTCATTATCAACTTCCATGGCAGCTGTCACTTCCCAATCTACATTTTCCCTCAGAAGCCATATAAGTAACAGCTAGGTGCCAAGATAAAATTGTTCACTGTAGCTTTATAAATGGAGTCATAGCTACACACAAACTTTTCCCCCACATTGTGTTTTATAGCCTTACTAACAAAAGTTAAGATTTTTAAAAATTATGCAACTAAATAAATATGACTTGAGGCTCCTCTAGGTTCATGTGAGTCACCGAGTACACCATCATTGGCTAACTCTGAAGTGTCTCACTGCCATTTATATTGTTTTCTTGGGCTTAGAGTATAATGATGAGTGAGGCAGGCATCACATTATCCTTTATAAAGCAGGGGCTCCAGTTTTTTATATATATAATTCGTTTATTTTTATTTTATATGTATTGGTATTTTGCCTCCATGTAAGTCTGAATAAGGGTGTTAGGTCCCCTAGAACTGAGGTTACAGACAGGTGTGAGCTGCCATGTGGGTTCTGGGAATTGAACCCAGGTCCTCTGGAAGAGCAGCCAGTGCTCTGTTAACCCCTGGGCCATCTCTCCAACCCAAGGACTCCAGTTTCATTGACTCTTCGTCCTTCTGCTACTGTTTTTGGGCATTACAAGTGACATGCTGAATCCAAGAGAGGAAGGGCCTAAAGGAAGAGACGGTGAAAAAAAAAAAAAAAAAAAAAAAAAAAAAAACAGCAACAAAGTGAAAAAGAATGAAGATGACACAGAGAGGAAAAAAGGGGAAATGGGAAGACGGAAGACGAGTGAGTGACACAGGAGGTGGGAGCCTCCTCGCGGCTGAGAAGGGGCAGAAAAGGAGCAGCGGCAAGAGATGGCAGTGCAGGAAACTGAAGAAAGAGGGAAAAAAACATGAAATGATCCTGTGTCCAAGGAATCGGTGGCCGTCATGACCTTAGCAAGTATTCTAGGAGCTCTACCTCAAGAACAAGGGTGCATGCGCACACACACTCACACACAACACACACACACACACACACACACACACACACACACACACACACACAAAGTGGGACTGGAGAGAAACTGCTAAATTACGTTGCAAATACCCCAAATTCCAGCTTGTCTACTGCTCGCAGCCCAGGGTACCCAGATCTGGAAAGTCACCTTCAGATGGGTCAACTGCAGACATTTTCTATCATGAGCACCATGGCATGAGACACGGGTGGAAAGGAAAGGGGCTGCAGTCCCAGTGGGTGGGTCTCTTGGATTGACTTGACTGCACTCACCCAGGATAATCGTGGCCGTCTGATGCCAGCTGACTCGGTGTGTCCTCAGCAGGAGAAGCCATCAGCCATGAGGGCGGCAGCAGCCAAACCCCTTTTTGAGAGTTGTCCTAGATGTGGTCTCCACAAGGCTCAAAAGCCATCTCCACTCTGTTCTCTTCGACAGTCCAACAAAGTAGAAGCTGTCCTGTCCTGGAAAATCCCCCCACAGGTCCCTCAGAAGCCCTGTGTAGACAATCTACAGGAGTCCTGAAAGGAACATGGCCACAACTTCTGAACAAATGTCTTTAGTTCTCTATTCTGGATGCATTATATCCACCTAGGCTCCTTCCAAAATAAGCAATATTGCAAGTGAGGTAACAGGTTTCCAGTCCTCAGATGGCCTCAGCATCATCAACTGAAAGCCAGTTCTCCGTTAAAAGCAGAAGGCTTCATTGACCCTCAGCTCAGACTCTGACACTAATCAAACCAGACAGAAGTCACCACCGTGAGTTTCCAAACAGAATCCAGGAGAAGAACAAACTGAGCCCTTACCTCCTCTGCCTGTGTACCTGGGACATTAACTGATGAGAAATAAGATGTGTATTAGAGCATAGTCCCTTGAGTAGGCAAGTGGTCTGTCTCTTTGGTACTGGCAGGGGGCACAGTTCCTTCTTTCTCTAATGTCCCATGTGCCCACAAGAATCCACAGTGAGTGTTATGCATGCCTTTTGTTCATAACAGACCTGGCTAGTTTTCCATGATCCCAGCATTGCTGCCACTTCTCCCCTAGTAAATATTTATATTCCAGCAAAAACGTCCATACTAACATGCCAATCCTAATTTCCTTCCAGTGCAAACTCCTGGCCCTATGGGTAAGTTGCCTGTAGATGCACTGGCTCGTCATTAGTGACTTCCTATGACAAAGAAGGACTTTGGCTCCAGCTCTTCTCAAACCCTGTTCCTCGACCTGGCCTTCCCCTGTGCCATAGCTTCCTTCTTAAAGACTGGTGATATGTTAGAAAATGGGGACCCCACTGCCCTAAAATCAGTATTAGGCAGCAGGCTATTGTTTATAATTGTAACAATATGTCAGTAAACAATGATTTCCAAAGCAATCACAGTGGTCAAAGAGAGTGGGCATAAGGGTTAAAAAAATAAGCACAAAACTGAAAGGAGGAATGGCTACAAAAATTAACATGCCTGGCAGGGCCAGAGTGGAAGAAGGCAAGGACAGGGATTTAACTGGGGAGCTCCTTTGCAGCTGTCACAAGAAGCTAAATCTAGAGGGAGGCCAGCTGGGTGCTGATGCCAGGCTATACACTGCAAGGGCCGGCTGACATGAGGCTGCATGCAGCAAGGCTATCATGGGAACCATTGACATTGAATGCTGGGATCAACACCACCTGGGAAGGCTGCTCTTACCAAGTTTGCCTGCTTTATAGCTAACCACAACCTTTTTTTGTTATTTTTATTTGTAGTGCAAGCTGCAGGATCCAGTGGTAAGTCTCTATGTATATTTTTTTCTCTCTCTGATGTTTGTTGCCCTGGCATAATATTCAGAAGGCCTGTTCCTCATCTTGATGGTTTTTGTTGCCATAGAGTGATGGTTTTAAACATGTTGTCCTGCTTCCTACTTTGTATCTGTCAGGAATTCTCTAGAGCTACATATTAAGAGAGGGACTACAGAGGTGGCTCAGCAGTTAAGAGCAATTTCTGCTCTCACAGAGGACCCAGGTTCAGTTCCCAGCACCCACATGGAAGGTCACAACTATAACTCTAGCTCCACAGTGCCCTCTTTGGGTGTCTGCAGATACCAGGCACACATATAGTATTCAGAAATACATGCAGGCCTGCTGGGAGATGATGGCAATGATGTAGGGAAAATAACAGAGAGAGGAAACAATAAGTTTAAACAGACTGAGGCTGGCTGGTCCTGGGTGCTGTGGCGTGGACAGCCCCGTAGGCACCTGAAGGAAATGAAGTCAAAGTATAGAGGGGTGGAGACATGCACAAAATTATGACCACTTGTTGCTTCCCAACCTGAACATTGGTCCTAAGGATCTCTTGGACAATGAATAAAAGTCATCATAGTCAACTTTAGCACACACCTGTAACCCTGAGTCAAGGCTACCTCCCCCTGTCCTCTTAATTATCCCACACCTGCTGCCTTGTAAATTTTCAACAAAGTATTTTTGTATTTCTCGATTGCCCAAAGTCTCCTAGGAGCTACCATACATCTCCTGTGTATAAATACTTTGGAAATATTATAATGTATGCATGAAAATGCTATCACTAGTTTTGTTCCTTCTAGCTTTCCTATGAGTTGTGGATGAGAAAAAGAGAGTTTAGAGCAAACTAGTTAAAAAATTTACAAAAGTGAGTGTCTTTAGAAGCCTAACCAAATGGGGGTGGGGTGGGGGAGAAGGGGCTTCAGGGGGCCCGGATGGCTAGGGAGGAAGTGCACTGAAGGAGACCTCAGATGACCACACAGGGAGGGGTGGGTTGGAGGGAACTGCATGTAACCAGAGCACACAGATCACAACATTACGAATCACAGTGTTATCTCAAGAGCTGTTTCAAGAACTTTCCACCCTGGATGGAAAGAGGATGACTGAACCTCACTGATGACTGCCCCATCCATGTTTGTTCTTTCAGGTGAACCTTCAGAGCCCTGCAGCCGTAAGTCACATGCTGTTCCTAAATAACGACTCTCAGAGAGGATGGGATCCTTCCCTGGGCTTCCTTCTGCCTTGTGAAAGTAACAACCTGTTCCGCCTGTGCTCCTCCTGTTCTCCCGTGCTCCCCCTGTGTCCCTGCCTCCTCCCCTGCCCCTCCTGTGTCCCTGCCCTCCTCCTGTGCTCCCCCTGTGTCCCTGCCCTCCTCCCCTGCCCCTCCTGTGTCCCTGCCCTCCCGTGCTCCCCCTGTGTCCCTGCCCTCCTCCCGTGCTCCCCCTGTGTCCCTGCCCTCCTCCCGTGCTCCCCCTGTGTCCCTGCCCGCCTCCCCTGCCCCTCCTGTGTCCCTGCCCTCCTCCCCTGCCCCTCCTGTGTCCCTGCCCTCCTCCCGTGCTCCCCCTGTGTCCCTGCCCTCCTCCCCTGCCCCTCCTGTGTCCCTACCCTCTTCTCGTGCTCCCCCTGTGTCTCTGCCCTCCTCCCCTGCCCCTCCTGTGTCCCTGCCCTCCTCCCGTGCTCCCCCTGTGTCCCTGCCCTCCTCCCGTGCTCCCCCTGTGTCCCTGCCCTCCTCCCGTGCTCCCCCTGTGTTTCTGCTCTCCTATGCTCTTCCCATGTTCCTCCTGTGTCCCTGTACACCTCCTGTGCTCCTTCCGTGGTCCTCTGACTCCTTCTCCCCCCACCACCTCACTGGTGTCCAAGAAGGAATGAACATGGTGCCACAGTGTAACCCTTGTACTGGAAAGCTGGAGGGGATGAGAATCAGAGGTTCAAGGCCACCCTTAGCAAGCCCAATGCCACACTGAGCTACATGAGTTCTTGTCAAAAGAAAAAAATTAGAGGAAACCTCCCAAAGTTTATAGCAACTTGCCTACAAGAGTAGGAAGGAAACTGTATAGGTGAGTGAAGGCTTGCACAACATAGGAGAAGAAGATCAAGGCGGCATGGGTTAGGAAAGGCGCCAGCTGAGGCTGAGCAGCTGACAATCAATCTCCCCACCCCAGGGGACAAGAGGGTTAGTGTGTTCCAGCAGGCACTTGGTAGTCCACTGAGGGCCCTGCTACCAGACTTCCCACACTAATCTCTGCCTTTGTCTTTCCAGCAATAGAATCCATCTGTAAGTCTGGCTGCCTCTTTACATGAAGAGAACCCGATGTCTCCAGGGATGTTGAAAAGTTCTTGAGCCAAAAATTTCTCTATCCACATTAGGATCCAGTAGCTTAACACTTGCTCCAACCCCATGACCCTCTCATGACTCCACTAGAGCACCAACACACTTCTAGAATGTTCTTTGGCTTACTTGAAAATTAAGGGTCAAATGAAAAAGTGTTCCTGTGGTACTAAAGACTCTGAATTGGGAAGGAAGAAATGAACAAATGAAAAGTAATACATATTCCTGTCTTCCAACCGGGCCATCTCCACAAGAGATTACTATGTTGTTTGTCCCTGCTGTGCCTTCTCAGAGCCATACAATACCTATCAGACCTGATATTCTAACAAAGGACCTGAAAATTTCTATTCTGTTATGGTGAAGCCACCTGCTTTTCCACTGCCTAGAATTCCACAAAGTGGTCGCCAGCTCTCTGAAAGTTTGCATACCTTTATTGTAGCCCCCGGCAAAAAAGAAAACCAAAATAAGGCTGGGGACTCAGATCTGTGAGCCCAGCTACTTAGCAGGCAGAGCTAGGATAGTGCTCACTTTGTAGCCTATCTGAGCAAACCAACAGGGCCTTGTCTCAAAAAGCCAAAAAAAAAAAAAGTAAAAGAAAGAGGCTAGGAATGAGGAGAAAGGGGCCAAGAATGTAGCTTAGCAGTAAAGCATTGCCCTTTCATATGTTGAGGCTGTTCAGTCCCTAATGTGGAGAGGGTGAAAAAGAAAGAACGAACCAGAAAAAAAGCATAAAGTAGTGAGGATGTGGTGGTGCTGATATCTGTAACCCCAGTGCTTGGGCAGTGGGAACAGGAGTCACAGTCCCAACTTGGACTCATAGTGTGACCCTGTCTCAAAGCCACTCTTACTAAAGGATGAAAGCAAAGTAATCAGCTTCTCTGTTGGAACACAATCTCAGGTGATGATTAAGTCTGCATCTATTCCCACCTCCTCAGCACCCCCATGCTGGGATCCAACAGTCTTTATCTGGACACCGTAGAATTCACTATCAAATCCAACCCCATCAAATCTACCTGGGTTATTAACAATACTCTATAAAGTCTGAATTTGACTGATGTCCAAGCATGTAAAGAGGGAAACATGCAGGGCCCTACAATTTTACATAATCAACCACAGAAGACTGCTTACAGAAAGAAAGACTAGCAGAGGAAAAGAGGAACAGGGGGCACAGAACCACTGTGGTGAGGGTGTCCTGGCCTTCTGGGCCTGCATGTCCACATTTGATACCACAACATCTGACAATTTCACTGACCCTGTAGGAAATCTCAGAGCTTAGAAGCTGCTGTCCCCTTGTTAACCTGCTTTCACATTACCCTAATTCTTTTTTTTTTTTTAAATACTTTCATGAGAAAAAAATCAAAGAATTGACTTACATAAAATAAATAACAAGGGGAAAGTTTCTCAAATATGATGGTTCAGGGTAGAAGCATTTGCCCCACAAGTCTGACATCGTATCTTCACATGTGTGTGTACACATACCCTACACCCTCAGGTACACAGATACACCACACACACACACACACACACACACATACACACACACACACACACACACACATACACACACACACACACACCTGCCAAATGAATAACCTTTAAAATACAAAAATGAGTAAAGAAAAGTAAGCAGGTAATTTTAATTTTCTGTTTTGTTTTTTGTTTTCTTTCTTACCAGGTGAACCAACTCCAATTGCCATAAGTAAGTCCAGCTGTGGGGCCTCACAATACCCTCTCCTTGACAGTCCTAAGGTCTTTAACCACCTACCTACCTGCATCAGAAGCCACAAAGTCACTGGGGCCCCTCCAGAAAGTGTGGGTCTGCTAACTCACAATGGGGCCAAGCAGATACCAAAGGGTGGTCATCTCCCATCAAGATGGAGCTCTAAACAGAAGACAAAACAGTGTGACAGGGAAATGTTAAGCCCCCTCTCTGTCTTACAGGTTGTCCACCATCACCACCGGCGCCTAACTGTAAGTTCTGCCTAGTTTTCTACTGTTTTTCCTTTGCTATTATTGTTATTGTGGGTGCCCTGCC